GTAATGAGGGGCCCAAAACTGAGCACAATACTCCAGTTGCGGGCACCTCATTACAGAAAGGATATAGTCAGGTTAGAGTCAGTGCAGCGTAGGGCCACAAGGTTGGTGGCCAGTTTGCAGGGTATGCCGTATGAGTTGAGACTGAGGGAACTGGGTCTCTTCAGCCTGGAAAAGAGGAGACTCAGAGGGAATCTGTTGGCGACATATAGGTATGTGAGGGGGTGTCACATGGAGGTGGGTAGAGACCTGTTCTCCCCTGCAGAGGAAGGCAGAACGCGCTCCAACGGAGCAAAACTCAGGGAGCCAAGGTTTCATTTAGATGCCAGGAAGCACATCCTGACAGTCAGGACTCCGAGGGTGTGGAATGAGCTTCCACAGGAGGTGGTTGAGGCCCCATCGGTGAGGCTGTTCAAAGATAGGCTGTACATGCACATGGTGGGCATGTTGTGAGTGGAGCCGGCTGGAGCCGGGGGTCAGACTAGATGGCCCAGGAGACCCCTTCTGACTCTCTCTGTTTCTATGTTTCTATGAAAGTACTTTGCAAGCTCTTGCTGCAGTGCCCTCTCCATTGCTTCCTTCAGAATTGTTTTTGGCCAAGCTTTCCTCTACGTCTCCAGCGGGCAACTGCTTGATTCAATGACTGTCAAAAGAGCACTTTCAAATCCGACATGCTGATCAGTCTCCCTGCACCTCTCACTGCTTGTTTTTGCACAAAATTCCTCTCGGGTTGCTTAAAGGAAGGGTAAGAGAAAAGGACTGGCTCGAGGCCCAGTAAGCCGTATCCCCCCTCCCCCTCCCCGGTCCAACCTGGCCCTCTCCTCCACCCATTCATGCTGGAGCAGATACTGAAAGTCCCCGCTGTACCTGTCTGGAGTAGCAGCCGAGCTGAGGGTGTAACGTCTGCTGGTACGGAATCCGTGCTCTTTGCTGATACAAACTCTGTGAAAAATACATGAGGTGAACATGCGTTATGGTGGCTGTAACTCTTCCATTCTGAAGCACTGCTCTGAAGACCTATTCACTGGATGTCTTTCAGATGCAAGCAGTCCTCCCATTCTACGTGCTGATCTGAAACCCTTGCAGTCGCAACTTACACTGGGGAGAAAGCTCCTTTGCCTTCTTAATTAACTAGCCAAAGCTATTAAAAGAACAAAAACCCTGTGCTTTTCCAATCCCTTGAGAAAAAGGGTTTGCTCTCCCTCCTTACTTTCTTCAAATTTTATTTTATTTTGAAATCAAAGATAAAAACAGGCAATATGACAATTCAGAAAGATCACTAAAGAAGCACGCTACGTTTCCCAGGCACTGGAGGAGATGTATGCAGCAGCCACTACGTGTCCAGAAGAAAGGACACTTTCCATCATTTCTTTTTCATTCCCATGACATTAACACACCCGGAACTACAACGGCACATAAAGATTAACAATGTGCCATTTGCCTGCAGTTCTAGAACTAAAATTATCCTGACCAATTAATCAAGTTATGCTTCAAACAATCCACCAATTAAGGGTACAGGTCTCTGTCTGAACATGCATAGAATGAGTCCTTTTGCATGTGTGTCTGTGTATTTCCATGAGCATACGGTTTTATGCTCCCATGGAATCAGCTTCCATTGTGGGTTGGTCTGCTTTGAAGAGACATCAGGACAATTCCAAAGGTTTGTGTATTTTTGCTGGCTTTCCCATTGTGCTATGTGTTTGTTTTTCTTTTATTTTTCAATTGGTAATATTGGTTTTTATTGTGTTTTGTCAATAATCACTGTTTTTATTGAACCTGTGTTGAATGCATATTTATTGGATTTTGTATCATTTCTCCCCCGCCCCATGTGTGTAAATCTTGTATGTTGCCTTTAAATTAATTAATAGGAAGACTTTTAAACTATTCAATATTTAACTTATTTCTGAAGTCATGTTGATTTTAACAGTGGATGTGTGTGTACCACATTCTGGTACATCTGGAAGACCATTACCTAAGGGAAAATCAGTGGGGATGCCCATACGCCTCTGAACTGAGAGGAAAGTGGGCACCCTCCCCAGGGTGGGAGAAGCACAAAGGCAAAGGTGGCCTCTGCCAGCCTAACAGCCTGCCAAAGGACTCGGCGGTGGATTTAGCTGTCATCCGGCAGCCCTTTGGAGACCTCATGAGATTGCGCTGCATCTTGGTGGTTGCCCTTTCCTCCCATCCTCATCCCCACCAATCCCCTTCCCCAGCGCTACCCCTTCGGCTTCAGAGATGCAGCCCGCACAGATCCTTCTGCACCAGCTGTGGAGGAATGCAGGGGGCCGCGTGTGTGGCGCCCAAGCTCCAAGGCCAACATTGTTTCCCAGAATTAGAACCAGGACTCTGGAAACGCCTATGGACCTCTAAGGAGCCTTTGGGGGCTGGACCGTCATTCTCCTCTTCAGTTGCACAGCAGTGCTTCAAAATGTGAGCGCCCTGCATACAGCCCCTCGACAGTGCTCCCTCCCCACGCTTGACCTCTGCCCCCCAGCCCCCACCCCAACTCCTTGCAAACTGCTCCTGCCTTTCTGCGGATCTTTGCACACCTTGTTGACTGCGACTCCAGCCACCATTACCTGATACTGAGGGAAACTCGAGTGGTTTGGGAAAAGAGGAGGTGGAGGGTAGTTCAGGCTGAGCCACATCGGCTGTTTTAAGGAGGTGGCTGTTGAGGTTGCTGGAAATCGTGGCGTGAAGACCCCCCCACTGTATTTCAGGTTGTTCTTATCAATGGCTGCTGAAGTGGCTGTGAAAAACACAAGGTGGGGTTATACACAAGGGCACTGGGGATATTAGAAACCTGTATCACTTCTTCCCATCTTGTCCTTTCTTTGCAGAGCCCAGGGAAGCCTTTGCCCAATGGACCAGCAAACAGTGAATGGCCCAAGGTCAGCCAATAACCTTAGAGGACCGATGGGGAGTTAACCCCATCCCTACTTTCTGAAGATTATGACACATTGGCCAGCTTTGTCACAGTAGTTTTGAACCATCCTGCGCATGCTGCTTACATTAGCAGAATTACCCTCAACAGTGTGACTTTTGCCATGCAAGCCCAGGTGGGGTAGCTTGTTGCCCGTGGGTCCTGGGCAGCTTGTTACCCACAACAACTAGTCATCCTGGGCAGGTTCCACGGTTGTGATTGTGCAAACCAGCCCCCCCCCTCCACACACACACACACTAGGTTTCCAAAGGCCTGGCTTTGGAAGTAAGGAGCAACGCCCTGACTATGGAATGGGTAAGAAATGCAGTTCAGGTTTTAATAGGAATTTAGCAACATTGACAAAGTTCTCCATTTTCACATCCAAAAGAATTCAAGATTTTAGAAGCGTGAATGTGGGAGAAATGGAAATGGATTTGCCTACTTAAGCCCAGGGCTTTAAATGCTGTCTCTGCAGACTGCATGTTCGAAGCCCTCTGTAATCAGCCTAGCGCTGTGCTGAACATTTTACTGATGTTTCTTTTTCAAACATCCCCTTTGTTTGATAGCAAAGAAACTGCTTCCAAAAAGAAAAGTTTGCAGAGATTCTAATGAGTTGGTTTTGAGCATCTTGTGCTAGGAAGTGGCCAAGGATGCCTAAGTGCCTTGTTTTTCATTGTACAGTCCTACATACACGGCAGCCTGTAGCTTCCTAGAATTCTCACATTTCAGTTAAAACCCATTTCAATTAATCCCCCCCCCCATTATTTTTCCCCCAGACCAGGAAGTGCAGGCAGCTTGACAGCTGCAGAGCAACCATGAGGTGTGCATGTGGAAGAACACGCACAGCCCTTTGGCTGCCTCACAGTGATGCCTCTGACTCACGGCAACCCTATGAAAGAAAGACCTACAAGCTCTTGTACGATCAGGGCTGTGGCTTCCTTTAGGGGGTCTGTCCATCTCATAGCAGGTCCACTTTTCTAACCTCTGCCCTCAGCCTTCCTAGCATGGCTGTCTTCTCCAGGGAGTTCTGCCTACTCAAGGCATGACAGCCTCAGTTTGCTTCTAGGGAAAGCACTGGCTTGGTTCAGTGAGGGGCCCACTTGTTTGCCCAGGGTGTTCACCAAACCCTCTTCCAGTAATGAATGGGTAACTGCAGAAACACCACACAAAGGGAAGCCTCTTTCATGGGAGAAGCAAACTTAGAGGAAATTGGAGGAAACTTTGCTTCCATGTCTCTCCGCCTCTTGCCTGCAGCCGGACATGATGCCGCCTCTGCACACTTGTCTTGTGGTCAATGCAAAATGGTGGCCAGGCTGCCAACCCAGCTCATGCTGTTGCTGCTTGCACTGGCAGTGCAGCTTGTGTCCCACCCAAGGCTCCTACAGAAAAGGGGAGGAAGTGCATCCCATCCCAGGCTAGTGCTGAGCTCTGCCTGTGAGAAATTGGCGAGAGTTTTCCCTTCCCCTGGAGAAATCCTGTGAAATTGCCTTCCCAATTTCTTTGAATGGGGGAGAGAATGTTGCATGGCCATTTGTGCACACCCTTAATTCAACCCTGAAAGGGCTGAAGTGGGTTTGCCACCTCCCTCTCCCTCTCCCTGTGGTGCTGAACAGAGGGCGAGCCTATGGTTTAGCACCACAGACAGATCCTTAAAGGTCAGACTGAGACAGCACGGGCATTGGAGCCGCCCTCTTCTGTGTTCCGGAAAGCTTAGCAGAGCAGGCTCGGTATCTCAGGTCAGAATCTGATGAATGAGCTGAGAGGCAGCGCAAATGAGCAGGCCACCTTCGGCCAGCCAGACAATAGCTCGTTTTCTTCAGGTTCTCAGCCTCTGCCCTGTCTGTTCCAGATTGGAGTCTGCACGGGTCAAGCACAGGGTGAGTCCAGGCCTGATCACAGGTGGCCTCGACTAGACGGTCCAAACCACATGCCAGGGCCGGATAGAAAAATTACAAATCCATGCTTGGAATAAGGACATCAAAGCCTTAGGAGGACCCTTGGTTGCCAGGTAAGGCCAACAAGGTCAGATCTGCCCCCACACTTGAGGGGCTCTAAACTAACTGCCAGAGACTCCCCAGGGATTCAGACACAGGAGCTTTCCCCACCTTATATGGAGATGCCTGGAGCTCTTTGCCTGAAACTATGCACTTTCCCAAAACAACAGCATAAGGAATGAAATGGGGTGGAATCGTCCAAGCCAGCCTTTCCTGACCTGGGGTCTTCAGGTGTGTTGGACTGCAACTCCCACTGTACAGAGATGGCTGCTGTCTATGCAAGCCCCCCATCCTGCGGGCATTTCGCATCTCTGTCTTGACCTGCAGTTGACAGCTACTTATTAACATTGATCCTCCCATTAAACCAGTTGCTGCCCAAGGATGTGCAACTGCGTCTTTTGGCATTTGATTGCAATATAAACCAGTTCCTCACCTCCATCCTCTTTGCTTTTTCTAACCCCTCCTTTCAAGCATCTACCTAAGCAAGTGGCCTGCACTACATCTTACAGTGGCCAATTCTGTAAGTGGATATATAGGAAGGCATTCTCTTTGTCAGTCCTGCCAAGACATTTCCTGTTGATCAGTTTCATTCAATCAGCCTTCTCAGTCCAGTCAGGAGATGATGGAAGTTGTAGGTCAGCACACTGGGAGGGCTCCAAGTCAGGAGACGTTACATTAAATCATGAGTTCTGCTCACAAAGGGAAATAATACCCCTTTCTCCCACCCCCTTTGCCTTTCCAAATCCTTCTGCAATCTCAGATCCCACAAGCCTTACCATGATTTTGGCAGAGTCCATCAGAAACCAGCTCAGGCTCAGTCTTTGAGCAGATCTTAGCAAACACTGGCAGCTGCTTCTTTTGTCCGGCTCCTTGACTTTCTCCCACAGCCATGATTGGTGGAGGCCGTGCCATGTTGTCTTTTGGGGGCACAGATCCAAACATGTTGCTTTGCAGCAGGTCCTTGATCAACTTGGTTTCTTCGGCCACCATTTTGCTGTCTAGAGCCTTGGCAACCTCAACACGCTTCAGGGGGAGCTGTGCCAAGAGCTTGGTGAGTTGAGTGTTGGAGGCCATCATGGCACCGGTTCCACTTTCTGTGCTTTTGGCATTCTTGTAGATTAATTTTGCAGGGAGCCAGATGCCTGTGACGGTGGACTTTGTGGAAAGCTGGACATCTGAAAGAGTCCTCAGTTTCACCTCCCTTTTGTTCCCAGTGAGGACTCTGTAGACATTCTCCATCACCTCCCTCTCTTCTAACGCCTGGTCTCCATCACTTGCCATTGGAAAGTTGTTAGTGGGGGGCTTATATGGAGCCACTGGGGGCCCCTTGGTCTCCTCAGATCTTTGAAGGGCGAGCTCCGTTGCATTCTCTTGGGTGAGGCTCAAATATTCCTGCTCAACCAGCAGTGATATTTCGTCTTTCCCAGCACTATTTTCCAAAGATCTACATGAAGGAAAAGATTCAAATTTTATGCATGTATGCATTTTATTCAGATTTTTAAAGCAACCTTTCCAGCAATGCTGACCCCTGAGGCAGAATGCAAATCCAATTCAAAACATGTAAAATACCAAGGTAAAATGAAACAAACTTTACAAATAAAGGGAAGGGCTGCAGCTCAGTACACATGTTTCATGTGAAAGGTCCCAAGCATAGTCCCACCACTACATGAGAAACACCCCTGTATGGAAACCTGGAGGGTTATTTGCCCATTGGAATATATGATGCTGAACTAGATGGAACAGTGGTCAAAATCATACAAGAAGGAATTGTGTTGTGGCTTTAAGTCCACCCAAATGCTAGGCCAAGTGCTTCCACTGCATTGCTTTTGTCCATTCGTGGGGATTGGCCCATTCTAGGGAATGCTGCAAGTAGAGCTGCACAGGCGCGGACAAGACGAGCCTTTTGTGAAACTCTGAAATATATTGAAGTCCCATAAACGAAATGAGTGAAGTAGCAAGCAGAATGAAGGGCTGCTGTAGAGGAGAGGCAAAGGAATGGCTCAGGTAGCTGAACTAAGCTACATACTGCAAAACAGGAGCATCTAAGTGCTCCGTGCTTACAATCACTCGGAGGAACCTGGAGGGCCGCAGAAAGAGTTTGCGGAATGGCATCCATCTGGCGACAGAAACAAGAACTTTCTCTGGAATGCCAGACCAGCTTGGTCGCTCATTACCAATTGCTGTTAATGCACAAATGTTTTCTTTTCAACACACACACACTGATTACTGTGTTGCAAATGCTGAGGATGGAACAGCTGGTGTTACAAACATGCACTACATATGCACTTATCTATATACATAGAAATATCATGCCAGATTTCTTAGTAAACTGCATATTACTTAATTATCTCTAATTATGGCATCAGTGTGTAGTTAGAACTGCCTTCATTATTTTGCAAATTGAACAGATCTTCAATTGCCTTTCATTCCAAACCTCTTTGAAACTTCACTGTTTCCTGAGACAAACCGATTGTTCAATGATTCCTGCACACACCCACTTCTGCCAGCCCGTCTTGCCACCGATGCAAACGTTTGAAATAAATTCCTGGTCAGCGAATCCTTTTTGCCCCTAATGGCCTGATGTGCTCAGCAATGCTGCTGTTCATCCGTCTTCTCCTTTTATTTCTGGGGTTCGTGACGAGGGGGTCCAATGACAGTACTAACAAGATGGGAGATGTTTGGGGGACCAGGCGCTAACTTGTAGAGACGGCCCCCCTTGCCTTAGTGATGCCCAAATCAGTTACTTCAGGAGACCCTGGGCGGCACAAGTTTGTCCTTTCCTGCTGTAATTCAAGGGTCTGGCGCCCACGCCCTGCTTCAGCCACTTCCCCATGCCCTTCGGCGGCATCTGAGGCAGAAGGCAAGCCCAACATCAAGCAGAATGAGGAAATGGCCCCAAAGAGCCGGTGCTGCAGCGTTCTGGCTGTTCTTCCAAGGCCCCGGCCCACCCAGCTATTCTCTTCCCTTGCAGGACTGACCTGCATATGCTACACAGTCTCTCCGGCTGCCCTCAGGCATGGCCGTGGACACGCTTCTGTCACTGAGGCTGAACAGACACTTCAGTTGCCTTGCGAACATGGGAGAGAGCCATCTTGCCCTTTCCCTGAGGCAGCCCTGAACTGGCCCTGTTCTATACTGGTTGCTGCACCCAGGATATTTAATCAGGTCTATGTAAGAAAAGAAGAAAGGCCATGCTGGGCTGTACCAGTCGTTCACCCAGTGCAGCACTTCATTCACAGATTGACAAACCAACTGCCCCAGGATTCCTCAAGCGAGGCAGGCGCAAGACCTCTCCCTGCTCAGGCTCCTTGCAACTGCTTGGTGGGCCTGCTGCTCTCCTCTTCTCACTGCAGTGCATAGTCCACCAGGGTGGTAGCTGTCCATAGCCTTCTCCTCCATTAATTTGTTCCATCCCATTCTAAAGCCATTGGCACTGGTATCATCTCAACTTCCTGGGGTGGTGATTTCCATAGTCTATGTACTGTGTGAAGAAGGCCTCCCTTTTACCTGTCTTGGATCCCCCGCCAGTCAGCTTCATGGGATGACCCCATTGGGTTCTGGTATTATGGGAGGGAGAGAAAATGGTCACACCATACATAATTTTATCTGCCTCTATCATGTCTTTCCATACTTGTCTTTTTTCTAAGCTCAAAAATGTCACTTCTTGTAATCATTCCTCATGGGGAGTTGCTCCAACCCCCTGATTATTTTAGCTGCTTTTCTCTGCACTTTCCCCAACTCATAGAATCATAGAATTGTAGAGCTAGAAGTAGCCAGGAAGGCCATGAGGAGTAGAGGGGAACTATTATGTCTTGTGATTTGGAATTAATATTTCTGTTAATGCATCCCACAATAGCATTTGCCATTTTGCAGCTGCATCACATTGTTGACTCATATTTAGCCTGTTGTCCGCAATTACTCCAAGGTATTTTTTATTTCTCTTCAGCCATTTATTTATCAATTTATATCCTGCCTTTTTCCTACAAAGGGCTCAAGGCAGCTCACATCATTCCCCTCCTCTATCTTATCCCCACAACAACCCTGTGAGGTAAGTTGGGCTGACATTCCGTGACTGGCCCAAAGTCACCCCGTTGGCTCCATGGCTGAGCGGGGACTCGAACCCAGATCGCCTGAGTCCCAGTCCTGTGCTCTTAACCACTGTGCCACACTGGCTCTCACTGGCCATCTCGTATTCATGCACTTTTTCCTAAGTGGAGGACTTGGCACTTGCCCCTGTTGAATCTCATTCTGTTGCCTTCAGCTCAGTGTTCAAGTCCATCAGGATCGCCCTGGATCTTCATTCGGTCTTCCAGGGTGTTTGCTATTCCACCCAGTTTTGTATCATCTGCGAATTTGATTATCTTTCCATGTACTTCCTCATCTAAATCATTAATAAAGATGTTGAACAGCACTGGGCCCAGGACTGAACCCTGTGGCACCCCACTGGTTACCTCCCTCCAGTTTGAGAAGGTGCCCTTGATGTGCACTCTTTCTTTCTGATTTACCAGTCAGTTTTGGATACACCTAACAGTTTTTTCTATCTAGTCCATGTTTTGCCAATTTGTTTATCAGGATGTCATGGGGCACGATGCTGAGAGCTCTGCAAAAGTCTAGGTAGATTCTGTCCACAGTCTTCCCTCTGTCCATTTGAGAGATTACCCAGTCAAAAAAAATGAGATTAAGTTAGTGTGACAGGATTTTATTTCTTTTTGATAAATCCATGTTGGCTTTTTATTAAGCACTGCATTTTCTTCAAGGTGTTTGCACACTAATTTTTTAATAATTTGCATCAGAATTTTCCCAGAGATTGATGTCAGATTAACTGGTTGGAAGATCTCAGTTTCATCATTTTCCTCTTTTTGATGATAGGGACAACGTTAGCCCTTCTCCGGTTGCCTAGCACTTCCCCTGTTTTCCAAGATTTATCAAAATGTTGTCGTTGTTAGTTGCGAAGTCATGTCCAACCCATCGCAACCCCATGGACAACATTCCTCCAGGCCTGCCTGTCCTCCACCATCCCCTGGGGACCACTCAAGCTCATGTCGATTGCTTCAGTGACTCCATCCAGCCACCTCATCCTCTGCCATCCGAACCCTTCTTCTTTTGCCATCTATTGTTCCCAGCATTAGGCTCTTCTCCAGGGAGTCCTTCCTTCTCATTAGGTGGCCAAAGCATTTGAGGTTCATCATCAACATCTGGCCTTCTAGAGAGCAGTCAGGGTTGATCTCCTCTAGGACTGACTGGTTTGATCACCTTGCGGTCCAGGGGACTCACAGGAGTCTCCTCCAGCACCACAATTCAAAGGCCTCAATCCTTCGGCGCTCAGCCTTCCTTATGGTCCAGCTTTCACAGCCATACATTGCAACTGGGAAAACCATAGCCTTGGCTATACGCACTTTTGTTGGCAGGGTGATGTCTCCGCTTTTTAGTATGCTGTCTAGATTTTCCATAGCTTTCCTCCCCAGGAGCAAGCATCTTTTAATTGCTTGGCTGCAGTCCACGTCTGCAGTGATCTTGGAGCTCAGGAAAATAAAATCTGTCACTACCTCCATTTCTTCCCCATCTATTTGCCAGGAAGTGAGAGGACCGGATGCCATGATCTTAGTTTTCTTAATGTTGAGTTTCAAGCCAACTTTTGCGCTCTCCTCCTTCACCCGCATCAAGAGGATCTTTAGTTCCTCTTCACTTTCTGCCATGAGAGTGGTATCATCTGCATATCTGAGGTTGTTGATATTTCTCCCAGCAATGTTAATTCCAACTGGTGATTCATCTAGCCCCACCTTTCTCATGATGTGCTCTGCATATAAGTTAAATAGGCAGGGCAACAATATACAGCCTTGCCGAACTCCTTTCTCAATTTTGAACCAATCAGTGGTTCCATGTCCAGTTCTCACTGTTGCTTCTTGACACGCATATAGGTTTCTCAAGAGACAAATAAGATGGTCTGGTACTCCCATCTCTTTAAGAACTTGCCACAATTTGTTGTAATCCACACAATCAAAGGCTTTAGCATAGTCAATGAAGCAGAAGTAGCTATTTTTCTGGAACTTCCAACAACTCCAGCGTATGTTGGCAATTTGATCTCTAGTTCCTCTCCCTCTTCGAAATCCTGCCTGTACTCCTGGTAGTTCTCGGTCCACATACTGCAGGAGCCTAGCTTGTAGGATTTTGAGCATCACTTTGCTAGCATGTGAAATGAATGCAATGGTGCAGTAGTTTGAACATTCTTTGTCATTACCCTTCTTTGGGATTGGAATGTAAACTGACCTTTTCCAATCCTGCAGCCACTGTTGAGTTTTCCAAATTTGCTGGCTTACTGAGTGTAGCACTTTTACTGCATCATCTTTTAGGATTTTGAATAGCTCAGCTGGAATACTATCACCTCCACTAGCTTTGTTGCTGCTCAGACTTCCTAAGGCCCATTTGACTTCACATTCCAGGATG